GAACGGCCGAACGCATCCCCAAGGGGTCCCATACGTTCGGGCGTTCGGGTTCGGGCGTTCGGCCCGTCCCGAACGCCGGTTACCCTGTATATACATTCTGTTTGTGACGATATATATATGTATATATATATGACGGTGAAACTCCGACGAAACAGTTTGTCACAGCCCCTCGTTTGTTGTCCTCTTCTCCCTCTCTGCCTACGGTTTACCGGGCAGTTCTATTTGACGATATATATATGACGATATATTTGTGACGATATATATATATATATATATATATATATATATATATATCTATTGTCACATAACTATGAACTAAAAGAGTGCACTTCGTGAAACAAACGGTAAAGATTTAAAAACAAGACAAACATGAGGGGCACACTGAAAGTTCTGAAACCATTTATTTTTCTCGTTCTTCTTTTTTCAACTCCCCACCTGATGTCTCATCACTGTTTGTGATGTATTTGTATTATTTAATCAATTCCATTATTTCTGTCATTTCATGTCATTTCTGGACTGTTAATGATGTGTTGATTGCCTGTTCTTTTAATTTTGCCACTTCACATAGGCTCATGTTCCGGCCATCAACCAGACACATTTGCGGGATCTCCTATCCGATGAGAGCCGTTGTGCCTCCTTCATCAAGTAAGCGCTGCCTGAATTGTTTTGTTTTGTTTTGTTTTGTTTTGTTGGTTTTGTTTTTGAAAGCAAGGCAACACGTACTATTATGCTATTCATCTGGTTCGATCAGGATTTGAACTCACAATCTGTTTGTGAACAGCTACATGAGTGTACCATCCAGCCAGATGGGATGGGTAGCCCTGCCTCAAGTTGACCTTGACCCTGTTTATCTTTGTCTCTGAAAAGGGCGCTTAGCCACTAAGATTTTGTACTTGTCATCAGTTGCATTTGAAACATGTCCCAGAAAGAGGGCATACTCACAAGAGGACTTTTTTCTACCAAGCTCTGGCTTCGATTGGGGTTAGATTCATCCAGGTTTTGTGGAAATTGCAGTCAGATACGTTTAGGAAAGTACTGCGTTGAGCATGCCCTGAGTTGACCTTAGCCTTTTATCAAGTCAACATCGTTAATAATTGCAAAAGACCTGTGGGCAATGGATGGAGGTTGGCAAACTTAAACCGTCAGTACCTTTCTCAGTTATCGATGCCAAGCCTAAAACGTCACCAAAAAAAAACGAACCGGCACAGGCTGCATTTTGGCTGGGGATGCCAGCCATTTCGGTTCCGGCAGCACCGAACCCCGCCGGCCTCCCACTTTACCCGGCGCATCTCAGCAAAATAGCTGGGAAAGGTACTGAAAGTGATGGCAATGTCGGGATTCCGGAAAGAATGCCCTCCCGCGGGAGGAGGCCGACACTTACAGCAAAACCGCTCCCATGGAAGATACACGAGGGGTGAAGAAGTCGCTGATAGTGAGGAGACAATGACGCCTTATGAACACTGGCTGCCAGAGCATCTCTGGCCTGACTGACTGGGAGATTTGAGACACTGCTCTTCTGGCCTTAGTCTTGAAGAGCAGTGAGGAGAGTTCACGCCTGATGGATGGTAGGTGCTAGAGTGTCTTGGACACAGTTCTGCTTGGTGCCTAGTCAACATATCTGTGGGATCACTTCAGCCAGTGCAGTTCCGAGTTTGGGCTCAGGAGTGCGCCTTCGGTTAAAAAAAAATGAAACATTTGTTACATTTCTTGATTTTGTGTGTCATCCTTGAGCAGGGGCCATGCTAATCTTCTCTGATCTGTATCGTGCCAATTTTAACGGATGTCCAAAAAAAATGAAACATCTCTTAGTTATGCTTGGCCCTTTCTTTTCTGAGATGCGCTGCTTGCACATTGTCCGGCTATGCTGCTGCTCCAACAGCGTTTTTTTTTTTTTTTTCCTTTGTTTTTGGACCCATTCTCGATTTATGCGTGTCATCCTTACACAGGGGCCATGCTAATCTTCTTTCTCTGTAGCGTTCCAAACTTTACGGATGTCCCTGAGGACTAAATGCGTTTCCCAAGTTTGTCAGACCACTTGTTATTGGAGCACTGCTACATTGGAGGGCTGGAAGGCTTAGGGCCTGCGCAACTGATGCAATGTTTATGCAAAGAAATGACAAACCTGGTCAGCTTCCCAACCAGGTTCATGATATTTTCTAAGCACAAATGATGCTTGGTGCTTGCTGGGACAGGACTTGTCAGTGCTGTCGTCTGCAGTAGTTAGGTGAGTCAAGGTCGTCGTGTGCTGTCTTCTGCAGTAGTTAGGTGAGTGAAGGTGTTCCTGTGATGGTGGTAGTCTCTACTGATTCAGGACAAGTGAAAGATCCTTCCTTCTTTCCCCAAATACAACGTACGGCCATTATGGATGTATTTAGACTGAAAGATGCCTTGATCGCATCTGGATTCAAACTTGGATCTGTACTTCAACAGTTAATGGGTGTAGGAACTGAGCTACGCCCCTTCTGAATTTATACAAGCTACCTTTCCAGTCCGCTACAGCCGCAATGAGGGTGCGTTGTTTTTGGGGGAAGGCAGTAGTCATTCCCTCTTTGGAGGTGTGGTGAAAGGTTAGCTCTAACTCATAGCACGGTCCTTACTTATTCATTGCGCGTTGTTGACTTTGGAGCACACAGTACGACAGTAGACACCGAATAATCAGATACATTGCTGTTGGTTGATTCTGGAGCACACAGCAGACACTCAATAATTAGAGTTTTTTTCTTTTCTTTTCTTTCCTTTTCTTTTCCTTTTTTCTTGTGAAAAGCATCAGTTGGGGTACACCTACTGCAGACAGGCATAGGAGCCCGTGCATGTATAGGGCCCCCGGGGGTTGATGGCTCGGGTCTCGTTCGTGGGGACCGGCACGTGCTAGGGACCGGGTCCTGTGTCCCTTTTGTGTTCTGTTTTTTGGGATACGTTTCCACTCTTTTTTTTCCCCCCCTTTATTATAAAGTTATAAACTAATCTATACTCTTCTCTCAATATACCTCCCACTACCTTCCTACCTATTTGTCGTTCTCTCAGCACGGAGCATTAAACCACTACCGTCTTCACCCGAATAGACCGCCCGGTCATTATAGCTGTATTTGGGGCAACTTTCAGTCTAGATACAGAGATAATTACCGGGCGTTCTATTCTGGTGAAGACGGTAGTACCTTTGCCGTTTCCTTTCGGCAAGTTTTAGCCTGTTCCCAAACTTTTAGGAGGCAGGGCCCGACAACAGCTGCTGTTGATAAATCTGATCGGCGGCCGTTGTTTCGTTTCGGCCTCCTGAAAGATCAGAGGCGCGCTATTTTTCGAACCGACAAAGGTACTAGTGGTTTAAGGGTAATGGACTAGATTCTGGCCTCTGCTCTATGCGGGGAGCAGTACCCCGGCTCCTAACACCTGACGCGAGCTGGAAAGCGAAGCGCTTATTTCCACAACCAGCTAGGAGGCCCAAGCCAGTTATGTCCGCTGGTGAACCCAAAGGCGTATCACAGGGGGTCGGGGGGATCGAATGGACGACGTGGAGAATTGAACCCACGACCTCCTGAACAGTGAATACCACTTGCGTGCTCAACCAACTGAGCTAGCCCGCTTGGGCCGGCCCCTTTGCACTCTGTTTTGCTCGAGTACCTTTTTTAAGTTTTTTTTGGTTTTCCTTTTTTTTTTTTTTTTTTTTTTTTTACCTTACTCGATCAAGAGATTTGTGTTGAATGTGTTCCGGTTTTCGGGGTGTTTCAGACGGTTCCTTTTCGCTCTGTTTTGCTTGTCTCTGTAAGTCCTGTCGTCGGTTTGAGTGGAAAGTAGATGCAAAGTGAGTGGAGTGGTCATGCTTGCCACTCACTTCCCCATCTCATCTCATCGATTAATCAAAGTGTGAGATGCATTGTGTGAACTCTCTCAGGATTCCAAACAGCTCGCTCGCTGGCTTCCATCTTCACCCGAATAGAACACGCGGTCATCGTCCCTGTATCTGGACAATTTTCAGTGAAGATACATCAATAATGAGCGGCCGTTCTATTTGGGTGAAGACAGCAGGGCACATAAAGTGGTGTACGGTTGAGTCAGCAACCTAGCAGCAACACACTCACCAGCGTCCATGTCGAAATCTCTTGCTAAGTCTATGCATCACACATCCCAAAAAGAAAAGAGGAAAAAAAAGAATGCAGTGCTGTTTACATCAGCCTGAAGTTACGTCACATGGGGCTGCCAAGTTATGTCTCTCTGAAGGTCTTACACAGTGATCTGTTGGTCTCGCGCCTTTTGATTGCTGTGAGATTTTATGGGGCTGCCATTGCCTGCACTGCGTCCACTGATGCGGTCTCCCGCCTGTTGATTGCTGTGAGAGTTTGTGGGACTGTTATTGCCTCCAATGCGTCCAGTGACACAGTTTCCTTCCTTTTGATTGCTGTGAGAATGTATGGGACCGCTTTTGGATCCACTGCATCCACTTACACCACTGCAGTTCTTGCTCTCGGCTTGATGCCATTACAACCACATTCGTCCGACGAACATCCAACGAAGAGCTTGAATTTTCATTTTTTGATCCTTGCCAGGATTTGTCGGTGACTCAGTGCTGATGGCTCACTCCATTTCTTATCTGATTTAAATTTTAAAGTTAATTTCCCCCCACTAATGAGGCAGCTAGCCCCTAAAGGGGGGACTACTGTGTTTAGCAGGGTTGGAACTCATGATCTGTTTATCAACTGTTACATGTGTGTACCATTCAGCCACAATTCAGTTATGCTCAGTCCTATATGTTCTTGATTCTGGCATGTTGGCTCTCTTCAGGGAATTCAACGGAACCGTTGTCGACTTCTCACGCCAGAGAGTCACAGAGGAGACCATGTCCTTGCTCCTGAACTTGGCAAAGGTGCGCATATTTTTTGGCGGATCCGTTTGGACTTGACGAGTTGAGAAGATGCAATGCATTTGGCCATTGTTAGTGATAACTCAGCATGATCGGGATTCTGAACATCACCTTTTTTGCTTTGAAGTTCGAAGCTTACTTTTGCAACGTTGAAAATATCTGGAGACGAACCTGCATGCTTTTTCCCTCTTGTTTGTCCATCTCCGTCTCTGCTTCTCTCTCACTCTCCATCTATCTATCAATCCATCTATCTAGCTATCTATCCATCTCTTTCATGTGCATGTCATGTATATGTAGGCTTACAACCTTACTGTGTGCCACAACTATGAGGGTGGCACTTCCACTCTAGTAGCATAAGGGGAGAAAACTTCAACAACTTGAAAAAAGCAGAAACAAAAAAGGGGCACAGCTCTAAAATCACTGGTCCAACAGAACCTGGTCTCGTTAAGCCAGTAGTCCCAAGCCTATTTGTATGGAACCGAACAAAAAAAAAAACGACCCCCCGGGCCTGCCCAGTATGAAACATCACTGCTACTTGGGTGACGCTGACTTTGATTGAAATTTGCATTTGGTTTGGGGCGAATATTTTCTTGTGCCCTAAACCACTTCTGTTTATTTTTCAATTTGCTTTCTCTGATTTGGAGCGACCTAATCTTCATTTCTGATTTTTTTCAGAATCTTTTGTTGCTAGCATTTTTTTGGAGAGAATACAACGTAGGTACATTGTATTTGAGCGTATGTTTTTTTTTTGCGAACACATTGTTTTATTACGTTCTATTCGAAAAAAACACTAAACAGCAATGTCTGGAAACCCTTTGGCAGAGGTAAGCTGAACATAACGTACATACCTTTTTTTTTTTGGGTTAAACCGCCAGTCCTCCCGTGGCAGAGTACTGCCCTTACCGGTCTACGCGGTAAGGGCATTTCGATTTGGTCTTGGGGCGGTCGCAAAAGTGGCTGGTCACTTTGAGAATACGCCGTTGCAGGCTCGCGAGCCTTGGAAGGTAGCTTCGTCAACTTAGCGCTGTGCGAACTGGTGGTTTGAACTTTGAACCACTACCGTCTTCACCCGAATAGAACACCTGGTCATTATCGCTGCATCTGGACCGAAAGTTGTGCCAAAAATACAGCTATAATAACCCGGCGGGCCGACGTTCTATTCGGTGAAGACGGTAGTAGGTACATGGCTCCTCCCCGGTAGTGCACTAGGGGAGTAAGCTTGTGGGACCACTGAAGATGGGCAACTGGACTAAAATTTCCCCTGCTGGTCCAATCTGCCCATGTGTTTCCACATGTACGGACAGAACCCCTGCCTTGTTGGCACTGGGGCGAGAAAACGGCAACAGCAAAGGAGAAGTGAAAAAAAAGAGCAGAACCAAGAAAAATATGGCTGGTTTATTTTTCATTCGAATGGTCGCGGCCACGTTCCTGGCGTCCCCGTCTTTCTTTTCAGGTGCCCTGGCAGGAAGGGGCGGAGCGTTTTTCAACGGTTCCAATCTGGTGGACGGCCATTTGCTTTCAACTCTTACTAACACTTAGACGTTAGAACCTGATACTAAGTGAGTGCTTACTCCTCTGCGAGGATTTTAGCCCTCGGCATACATGATGCCTGTGGCCCCTGAAGCAAGCATATGCCCTCCCTAAGTGAAGGCGGGCCTCCGAATCTCAATGAGGCCTGAATTCCTTCAATTTTGAAAAGCCTGGGTGGGCGCCACACAGTTGCCACACGCCAGTTGGTTACATCTGCCCTGCTTGTGAGAATCAGAAACATTTGTGAGCCTTCTAGGCTCTTTTGGGTATGCAGTGGAAGCAATGAACACCTCACGTTTGTGCTTGGGTGGTTGGGCATGCCTAGCCAATTCGGTGCCAGGCCACTGTCTGAATGGGCCTGGGCGCAGGCACTTTGGCCCAACCAGAAGCTACTGCGCACACGGGGGGCCAGGCCAGGCTGCATATAACAAAGTGCTGTGATGCCGGTCGCTTTTTTTTTTTTTTTTTTTTCCTTTGAATTTGGACCATTTCTCGATTTATGCGTGTCATCCTTGAAAGCGCAGGGGCCATTTGCTAATCACCCTTCTCTGTATCATTCCAATGTTAACGGATGTCCCAAAGGACAGGTGCCGGTCGCTTTCATGCTCGGCAAAATGTAAATTTAGGCTTGTACATTTAGCCTCGGATGTACAGGTGGTTTACGATGGTAAGGAGGATCTTGAGTTCTACCTCAGTTGGCCTCCATGTCAATCATGCTGTACGGGTGCAATCACTGCTATTGAGGAGGATCCTTAGCCCAGAGCAGATGGAAGTGTTATTGTGTTCGAAGACTTGCCAGTAGTAGTGGAACCAGCTCCATTTCTACCGGCAAGCCTTGGAACACAATACCACTTCCATCTGTCTGGCCTAAGGATCCTCCTCAATAGCAGTGATTGCACCCTTACAGCAGGTTGTCGGGGTTGCGCTGGTGCTGCTGAGACCATAGGAGGGAGGCTCTGGTGGCCTGCAAGGATCAGGGCTGGCCCCTGTGTGTTGTGTTGGGGCTGTGCGCCATCTCCGTCTGTGGCTTGTTCATGCTTGGTTCCAAGGCTGGAGAGAGAGAGAGAGAGAGAGAGAGAGAGAGAGAGAGAGAGAGAGAATGGTTCCAGGGCTTGCCGGTAGAAATGGGACCAGCTCCATTCCTACCGGCAAGTCCTGGAACACAATAACACTTCCATCTGTTCTGGCCTACGGATCCTCCTCGATAGCAGCAGCTCCATTTCAACGGGCAAGTCCTGGAACCATAATCCCTGATCAGATCATCCCTGATCAGTCCCGGAGTAGAAAGGAGCCAGGTCCATAAGGCCTGGTGGAAAAAAAAAAGGAGTCAAGAATAGAGCTTTGCATTAAAAGAAATTTACGAAGGAGTGGCTGGTAGGGGGCAAGGTAGCAGACATACAGGCCTCTCATGTACGATGGAAAGACTGGCACAATTCAGAAGTCGGCTTGAGGAGGTTCCAGCCTACAGGTGGACAAGGGTCACAACAGGTTACGTGAATCCTGTGGCAAAGGCGCGGTATAGTCAGGTTCTGTAATGGCGGCGGCCTCCATCGTCTAGCTGTGACACGGCGGAGGCAGAGTAGCGAGGCCGGGAGAGGGAGAGGGAGAGAGTGAGAGCACACACACACACTCACTCAACTCGACGCGACGGACGCAGACACGGAGAGGCAAAGTCGCAAAGTCGCAATCTTCGATTCCGAACACAATGTCGTAGCAAGTCACACTGAAGCACAAGCACTGAGGTTGAAAACTGAGTCCCCGAACTCAGCTTGAGTCCGGTCTTAAGTACCGGACTCAAGTTGAGTCCGGTCTTAAGTACCGGACTCAAGTTGAGTCCGGCGGGCAGAAGTGCAATTTGCCTCGGGGCTAAACTGAAAATCGAGAACTGAGCCTGGGCGCCAGAATGTCGGATGGCGCCAAGTATCGAAATCCAAAAGTGCCAGAGGGAGGATTTGAGAACGGGCGCCAACTGCAGAGGGCGCCAACAGTCAGGAACCGGAGATCAGCGATTCAAAAATAAAATAGCAGCTTGGCGGGTGGTAGCCCGCGGACCAGGGATCGAGCCCTGGCTGAGTCCGTAACACTAGCCCTTTCTTGCTCTCACGATAAATACGACTGGTTTAAATAGCTCTGGACCTGAGAGGAAAGGTAGATGTATGGCAAGCTGACAGTCAATCCTCCGCAACGCTGGAGCAATCAATGCTGTTCAGGGGTCCTTCGGCCAGACGGAAGGAAGCGTGAGGGTGTCCCAATATTGTAATTTCTGACCTGCCGGTGGAATAGGAACCGGACTGATGCTCCCCAGAATGGATATGGAGCCAGTCCTATAACGACCTGTTTTTCTTTTTTTCTTCAAAAAAAAAAAAAAAAGAATAGAGCTTTGCAAATTTTAGTAAGTTGCACTTTCTCTGTTGTAACTTGTAAGTAGTCTTAGTACTGTTTTACTGATCAGTCTATGTTGTAAATTTTTAATTTTCCCTCTTTATGTGGCATCGCAGGAGGCAGAAGTGGAAGAGAAGATCAGGCAGATGTTTGCAGGAGAGCATGTAAGTGATTGATGATGCAGTGATGGGATTTTTTATGCAGAATGCTGAGAATGGGTTTATTGAGTTATGAACTTATGATCAGTCATTTGAGTGAAACACTGAACTTGACTGAAGTGTAGAAACTGCAATGCCGTCCTAATCGATGATGTCTGCTCTTGATGGCCTTGTTGCGTCTGCTGGATTTGAATTCGAGCCATTGCACTGATGGCCTTGTTGCGTCTGCTGGTATTCCGTGTGCGCGACTGGAGTCAACATCCAAGTGCCTGCTGACAATTGTTAGACAAGTTCCGGAGCACTGCTTCCTATGGCGTATTCACACTAGGACTTTCGGGACTGGATCTGATCCTTGTTCCAGCCCGATGCATCCAAGAAATTGCAAGTGCGAGTACATTGTAACTTGTAAGTCATCATGGCCGTGAAGAGAGAAAAAGGGTTTCTTCAACTTTCTTGGAAAAAAAAGTGCATATCCGCTTCCGCTCTGCCTCCAGCCCTTGGTCATGTATTGACTTCTTTCCATTCTGGCGAGCGTCAATCATTGGTCCGACTCGATTCCTGTCCACTGGCGATTCAGCAGCTGGCCATACATGACACAAACAATAGGATACCACACCCCTTACTCATTTATTCTTTTTATTAAGTCATACAGGTTATGCACACTAGTACTTTCGGGACTGGATCTGATCCTTGTTCCAGCCCGATGCATCCAAGAAATTGCAAGTGTGAGTACATTGTAACGTGTAAGTCATCATCGCCGTGAAGAGAGAAAAGGGGTTTCTTGGAAAAAAAATGCACACCCGCTTCCGCCCTGCCTCCAGCCCTTCGTCATGTATTGGCTTCTTTCCATTCTGGCTAGCATCAACCATTGGTCCGACGCGATTCCTGTCCACTGGCGACTCAGCAGCTAGTCATACTTAACACAAACAATAGGATACCACACCCCTCACGGGCCCTCAGTCATTTATTCTTTTATCAAGTCATACAGGTTATTCACACTAGGACTTTCGGGACTGGATCTGATCCTTGTTCCAGCCCGATGCATCCCAGAAATTGCAAGTGCGAGTACATTGTAACTTGTAATTCATCATGGCCGTGAAGAGAGAAAAGGGTTTTCTTCAACTTTCTTGGAAAAAAAATGCTCATCCGCTTCCGCTCTGCCTCCAGCCCTTAGTCATGTATTGGCTTCTTTCCATACAGGTAATCAACTAGTACTCTCAAAATAATACCTTACTTAACCCCCAAATTTAGACCCCATTCATCATGAAATTATAGAGAGGCGGCGGTGTGTCTCACCAGTCAATTCAGTGATGTGCGACCATGCATTGTGTCCAAAGAATAAGGTAGGTGGGGAATGTTGCCTCCAACATCTTCAGCTGACAGAAATCACAGAGAGCCTAAAGGCATTCTCGCACAAGGACCTGTTTTCGACTCAATCTGGTACTTCAAGAAGGTTGCAGTACGAGTGTGACCAATGAGCAATGTAGAGGGGCTGGAGTGGCAAATGTCCAAGGAATGAGAACGCAGTGCCGTATGGGATTGAAGACAGCAGCATTTGCAAAGTCCGAGTGGTTATTAAGTGTTTAAGAGAATCTTCCTGATAAAGCCACTGACAATGATGGAGGCTTTTTTTCTTTGTTAAATAAGGGAGGTAGACCTTAATGTTGTTGCATCCATCTACCGTCTGTCCCCTCCAATACTAGTGTCAATTGCTGCACATATTGTGCAAGGGGGGAGAGAGAGAGAGAGAGAGAGAGAGAGAGAGAGAGAGAGAGAGAGAGAGAGAGAGAGAGAGAGAGAGAGAGAGAGTACAAGGGGGAAGGAAGGGAGGGAAAGTGGGAATAAGTTACAAGTGTAAGAGAGTGAACGTGGTTGAAGGAAACGATTGCATACAGGACAAAACCTTTTGGTGGAGAAATGGTTGCTGAGATGGCAACACAGATGGTGATTGCGGAACGAAGAAGGGGGTGAAATAGAGAAAGGGAGAGACAAATATGATAGGGAGGGGGTGAAGTAGAGAAAGGGAGAGACAAATATGATAGGGAGGAGGTGAAATAGAGAAAGGGAGAGACAGATATGATAGGGAGGGAGTGAAAGGGAGAGACAAATATGATAGGGAGGGGGTGAAATAGAGAAAGGGAGAGACAGATATGATAGGGAGGATGTGACATAGAGAAAGGGATAGACAGACGACACCTCTGTTTTCTAAGAATTCCTAGTCTGAGTCTATTGATAGTAAGATTGTAGTGGAGATGATGGCGGCGAGATTCAGAAGAGATGACATCAGTCCCATCTTGTCTGCTGGTTTGGGATCTGATCAGGATCATAGTGTACTACCTCTGTTTTCTAAGAATTCCTAGTCTGAGTCTATTGATAGTAAGATTGTAGTGGAGATGATGGCGGCGAGATTCAGAAGAGATGACATCAGTCCCATCTTGTCTGCTGGTTTGGGATCTGATCAGGATCATAGTGTACTAAGAGTAGTGAAAAAGACTAAAAGGTACCTAAAGCTGAGTGGTCCCTGTGCTTTTGATGCAGATAAATCAAACAGAGAATCGAGCAGTTTTGCATGTGGCGCTGCGGGCTCCGAAAGATGAGGTATGCCGTTAATATCATCATATCCTGCGTTTTTTTTTTTGTTCGTTATGAAATGGTGGAATGTATTTTTGGTTCTGAAATGGTGGAAAGCCCTCGATATTATCCTATCCGACTGGACTCGAACGCTTAGCCGGTCTGATTCCGTCTGAAGGTTTAGGCTTGTTTGATTCAGCCACTGGGGAGGTGTTGAGATGAGCCGGTACTCTCTTTGGAAACGAAACACGGATTGAGAGCAAAACTCCATCCCTGTGGCAGTGTCCCATTTCCCGGTAGCGCAAGTCTTGAAGAGGTACGCAGACCCTGCTTATTTTTTTGGTGCCAAGCCTGCCGACCAAGGTCTGGAAAGTGGAAAGGTGTCAGGTTTTCGGCGCCTGATTTGAGTAACTGTGGTGGAGACAGATGATGGAAACTTCGGATGGTGTGCAAGACAGTGGCTGTGACCAATTTCTACTCACTCCAGCCTATCGTCTACCATGTGTCTGAAGCTAATTTAGAATTTGCAGTCGCACACCACGATAAGATGCTGTTGCGGCTGACACTGCTTCTGAAAGAGGCAGTTGCCCCTCAGATTATTATATCCAGTAAAGGACTCTTGATCTGTTTGTCAATAACGGCATGCGTGTACTATTCCGCCACCAGGCAGGTACAGACATTGCTTCATGCCCAAAGATACTGTTGCGCAACAGACAGTGCTCCTCTCGTAGTTTTACATTGTGGCCTCGGGAACAGGTGCTGAATTGTACATATTTGGTGCAGGGCTGTGCCGGCAACCGACCGGTTGGACCCCCGGTGGTCCAACCGGAATTCTGCTTGGGGCCAAAAGTGGGTCAATTTTTATTTTCTATTTCTTTTTGAAAACATTGTCGGACTGCGCTCGGCGAGATCTCCCCAAATCGGCAAAGAAAACTTTGAACAGAGAAGTTTCGTTTGGGGGGTACGGGGGGAGGGGATGGGGGTATTTCAGGGGTTGGGGGCCGGGGGCTGGGGGAGGGTATGGTGGAGGTGTTGGTGGCGGGGTTTCAGCAAGCACGGCTCTCTCTCTCTCTCTCTCTCTCTCTCTCTCTCTCTCTCTCTCTCTCTCTCTCTCTCTCTCTCTCTCGCCCGCTCGCTCTGTCTCGCTCTGTCTCGCTCTGTCTGTCTGTCTGTCTGTCTGTCTCTCTCTCTCTCTCTCTCTCTCTCTCTCTCTCTCTCTCTCTCTCTCTCTCTCTCTCTCTCTCTCTCTC